ACACGCATTTTGGAGCCATTACACTAGGAATTTTCATTCTATAGTTGTTGAAGCAAGGAGGGGTATGAGGCATTAACATTTGATGAACAAAATGCAAGGAATCACATTCAGAGTATGAGAAGATTGAGGCTTGGGGTAGGAGATGCTGAATTAGTTGCACTTTATTTTCATAGGATGCAACAACAAAATTCAAACTTCTATTCTGCAATTGACCTCAATGAAGATGGTCGCATGCGAAACTTGTCTGAAACATTTGTGTGGCTATTCAGAGAATGGTTAAGTTGCATGTCTGACGTTTCTCCAACAGCTATAATAATAGACCAGTGCAGAGCTATGCAAAATGCCATTGAAGTTGTCTTTCCACAAGCTCGACATAGTTGGTGCTTATGGCATATAATGAAGAAAATTCCAGAGAAATTAAGAGGATATGCCCAATATGAATCCATCAATTTTGCTTTGCAAAATGCAGTTTATGATTGTTTTACAAAAAGATGAATTTGATGAAGAATGGCAAGCGATGATTGCAAAGTTCAAGCTAGATGATAATGAGTGGTTGGGGGTATTATACAGTGAGCGACATAGGTAGATTCCTGCCTATGTTAAGGACGTTTTTTGGGCTGGCATGTTGACTACACAACGAAGTAAGAGTATAAATACATTTTTTTATAGATATGTGAACTCAAAGACAACTTTAAAGCAATTGGCTGAACAATATGATAATACCTTAAGAAGTAAGGTTGAGAAAGAGATGAAATCAGACTTTAAATCTTGAAACAAATTATATAATTGCTTAACGGTATATGAGTTTGAGAAGTAATTTCGTGCAACCTACACGAATGCAAAATTTAAAGAAGTGCAGGTAGAATTGAAGCGACTATTGTATTGTCGTGCGAATCTTGTCAAAGAGAAGGGAGCAATTTGTACTTATCATGTGAAGGAGGCTGTTCTTGTCGGTAAGAAAATGAAGACTGTGGAATTTGTTGTGTACTTTAATGCAAGTGAATGTGAATTGCATTGTATGTGTCGGTGGTTTGAGTTTAAGGGCATTATGTGTGCCCATGCAATTACTGTATTACTTGAGAGGTGTATAGATCAGGTTCTAGATAAATTCATTATATCAAGATGGAGAAAAGATATCAAAAAAGGGTACACATACATTCCAACCACATACATTAAAGCCGGGGCTATTCTTAATGCAAAGTTGCATGATAAATACCACAAGATGTTGGATGAAATCATAGAAATTGCTGCCAACGATGATGGTAAACACGAAGTGCTTGATCTTGGGTTGATAAAAATCAAGGATAGAGTGAGAAAAAATCAATCGGGTAATACGAGTCACGTACCACCTTCTACTAGTAACGTGCCACTTTCTACTAGTAATGTACCACCTTCTCATAGTTCGCTGAAAAGTTCGTCTGCTTGTAGTACTACAAAAGCAAGCATGTCTCGCAAGATGCTTAGTCCTATGGTTGCTCGCCGAAGAGGACGTCCATGTACTAAACAAAACGTTAGCAAAGTGGATGAAATTAGTGAATCGGTTGAACGGAAAGAGTAAAAAGCCTCCAAAAGCACAGGTAAGTTCTTTTCTTGTGTGTGATATGGAAATTGTTAAATGTACTTAAGATAAATTATTTACCATTGTGTTTGTGTCTGTGTCTTACTATAGGGACGCACGATTCCTCAATATCAGCCTCTGAAGTTAAATTTTCCTGTTATAGATGATATGCAATACAATACTTATCATTACCCGATATGTATTTGAATTTTTATGTTGTTGGTTGTTTTTTGTTTTAATGTCTGAAATGTATAATGAAATTGTGTTACTATGATCATAAGGCGACGCAAACTGCACCTTACTATTTTCCCTGCATGGATAGTACGCAACAGAGCATGTATGTACCGGTATGTGTTCAATATCTGAAGAAAAATATTTGTTCTTGTTTTAATTGATATATATGTTGAATGGACAATATTTCTAAAGTGTACTTGTTTATTGAATAGGCACAGTTTAGTCAAATGCAAATGGTGGATAATATTGGAGGCACATCTCATACTCAATCAGGAATGGTGAACAACATCAGCAGTCAATGTTCGACAATCGTTTCAAATTTTGTTCACTTCAATGTAGATGCGGATCCAAATGTCCCTTCTTTTTTTTTTTTAGTTTCGCATTAGTACTTTGTAATATATATATATATATATATATATTTTATTTGTACTTTTACACCTTTTTTTTTTCTTGTGGAATACTCCTGAGATAAGTTTGTTTGTAGAATACTATGAATGATGTTTAACTATAAAATTAAATAGGGTAGATTGATAGTTAACTATGAATGATGTTGAATGGGATAGGTTGATGGTTAACTATGAATGATTGTAAATGATGTTGAATAGAGCAGATTGATGGTCATATTTTCTATTGCTATGATTTTTAGGGTCATATTTTCAAACTGTTTCAAACTGTTATATGACTGTTGCTATGATTGTTCACTTCAATCTGTTTCTCTTTCAATCTGCCACATTTTCAAACTGATGCTTCAGGTCCATCTCATGATCTTTTCCTACTTCCATTTGTTGCTGGAACCTTCTCTATGGCCCCTGAAAGTTACGCACATTATGCCTCCTCATCCGATTATGGGGGACAAATATTTCATGGGGTTGAAGGTGGTTTTGTTGATGTTACAATGATCAATGGAAGAGGAACATACAAGCGAAACAGTGTTTACTTCTGCATGTTTTAGTAATTCTCCATAATAAAATTACATCCATAATGAAATTACAACAAAATAGATCCATAATAAAATTACATCCATAATAAAATTATCCTAACCCTGTTTTAGTTAATTCAAACAATACATTACAACCATAATAAAATTACAACATCATATTCATTCAAACACTAACATTCAACATGTCCATTACATCCATAATTACATTCATCAAATTTTCCAAAAACTAACAATCAAGCACTTCAATTCTGTAACGCCCTCAAAATAATAACATTAAACCCATCAAATAAGACATGCGTTGACATATGAACTAGCCACATTCTTTTATACATTAGAGTTCCATTACATAGGTATTACATGTTAACATCAAAACAAAATGCCCTACGGGCTTACAGCTTTCCAAGTTAACACTTGGTTACAACAAAAGAGTACTAACTCGTTTACACATTAAGCCCTTGGCTCGAAGTTACATGTAATACATCAAAAGTAAAACAACTACACTATGTCCGCCTCTAGCCTCCCAAGCTAGGTCCTTGGAGGTGGCATGCTTCCTGTACCTGAAAATGATATTCCCATATAGGGTAAGCCACAGCCCAGTTAGAAAACACTAACCAACCATGAACAATGCCTAAATATTAGCAATTGATAGATGGCCAACACTGATACAATCACATAAATCACATATTTATGTCATACGACTTATGAGTCCAAGTCTCCTTTCATTTTTCCCTTTTTCAACGGATGGCATATAAGCACTAACCACATTCTCGACAGATATGTATAACAACAATATCCACATTCCCAGATAAGCAAATAAGCTATATCACATTCACACAGATATGTATAACTACAATATCCACAGATAGCATATGAGCTATATCCACACATCACAAAGATAAGCATATGAGCTCTATCTTCACTTCTCTAGACAAGCATATAGCTGTATTCACGGAGTTCATCCCTATCTTCTCCCAACACTAACCGGTTTAGAGGTACATCCCCTATCTTCCCCTAAATCGCGGAGTATCCCCTATCTCCTCCTCTACACATAACGTCTCAAACACAATGGTTCTATATACAACCACTCAATACATACAGTTAATGTATTCTATCAACCGTCAAGTCCCATGACACATTCCATTGATTAGTTTCCGTTTGCCTAATCATCATGCATTGTCTACAACAATCACGATATCCTCCACCGATAGCCCAAAGCAGTTATTTCTAAACAGAAAATAAATGCACAATGGATATTCAATCAACATTTCGTTTACTCATTCTTCTCAATTAATTATCCCAATTAATTAAACAATGTAATTAGGTCGATTCCCATAATTAACATTACAACCCTTAGGTCCCATTTTCTTCAATGATTTAACATTCATTCCATTCTCTATGCCAAACATGCATCTAGGTTTATTTGAATAAAACCCCAACTTTTGTAAAATTACACAAAAGCCCCAAACTCTCACAAAATTACCAAACCAACCCCAACATCTCAAAATACCAAAATTTAAAGACAAATCCATAGAGAGGAGTAGGATATCCCTACCTCAAATTCGGAGTCCCAAGGAAGAAGACGACAAAACCCAACGTGCTCCAAAACCCGAGATTTTCAGATTAAAATGTAGCCCTCGACGATCAACAACTTTTTTGTAAAAGGCCAAAGGTGAGCAAATCACTCCTACTAGATCAAAACTAGAGAGAAGTAGAGTCTAGAGTGAGAGGCTCAACAATGGTGTTTTTGGAAAGTAGGAGAGAGAAGAGAAAGTAAAAGTGATTTGAAAAGTCACAAATTTCGGGACTTAAACCCAGTCTCCCGCTCGAGCGTAACACCCCGCTCGAGCGTCAACTCACAGACTCCCGCTCGAGCGTCCAAACTTCCGCTCGAGCGCCGGATGCACTCTCCCAGCACTTTTACAGAACCAGGCCTCCGCTCGAGCTTCCAACTCTACGCTCGAGCGGCACTCAGACAACCCCGCTCGAGCGGCCAATCCCACGCTCGAGCGTACAACGCTGCACAGGAAAATACTGAATGGGTGTAATCTCCGCTCGAGCGCCAAAACCCCCGCTCGAGCGTACAGGCCAAAACCTGGGCAACTAGTTTTGGTTTCTAAACTCAACCAACCTGTAACAAACCTGCCCAACACATCCTATAACTCAATTACGAAGTAAAAATGATGTAAACAAAATAATAAACAACTACCAACATCCACGGACACATGTCCGGATCACTGTACGACAAGGGTAAACCCGGGATCGTTACATAATAAGGTACAAAACGATACAAACTACAATCACATAAATCATAGCCTTGAATTTGTTGTCCATCCTTTGAAGCTTTCTACCATGGTCATGTATTTCATTTTCCATCTCAGAAGGCCTTGCCCTAACATCATTCAATTCTTCTGTTCGGATAGCTTTACGAGGTCCACTATTGGAATGGATTGTCGAGGTAATGGCCCCATCATCATCGTCCGCAAACTTGAAGTAATTGCAGTGTTCTTTGTTACTCTTACTCTACAATGCATGACAATCAATTATTTAATTTACACAAATAATTTCTGAAATACTACAAGTTTAATTTCATAACACATACTTACATATTTGGATGGGCAAACAAAAAAGAGACGCCCTTAATTTTCATTCTCATTGGTTCGTACAATATACATTGCAGCTGTTTTCCTGCAATCACACATTCTTGGTCTTAATCTAATGTTGCTGTTGTTAGTAGAAGAATAAGCCATTTTTAATTTGCATAAACAAAATTCAAAATATTTGAATATTAATTTCAAACCATGTTTCCATATTTTATGTCTTCAATGCTCTATGATATTCACCGGACAAGTGTCTTATACATTCAAAATTCAAAATTGAGATTTTATGGCAGTGAGTTTTTACAAAGTACATTTTTAGGAAAACTCATAACCTAAATCACTTAACAAGACACTGAACATATACATTCAAAATTGTTAAGTGTCTTATACACTCAAATTAAGTGTCTTATACTGTGATAACCCTGTTCCGTATTATGCTAATTGGTCCTCATTATAAATGTGATTATGTGTTTGATATGATTTTGTGTGTCATTATGTGAAAATATGTGGTTTTGAATTTCTATCTGTTCACCGTAAGAATATCTGTTTGATTATCTGCTTTGGAAATTAAATTGAAGGCCTTATCGGCCACGAAATCCGAAATTGATTACGCCATTGTGATTAGTGTAATTTTTCGAGCCTATAGTGAAATTTAATTAAAAATTTATTCAGATCAGAATAATTAGATTCAGAACGATTAATTGAGTGCTCAATTATTTAATATTGATAAATTGACTTAGTAAGGCTATATAAAGGGCCATATACACTCAATTCTCCTCTTTAGCTTCAATATTGGCTGATTTTAACTCTAAGAAGAGAGTGGGAGGTTTGGCTAGAGAGAGAGAGTGTAAGAGATTGAAGTTTGATCATTGAAGCTTGAATAATTTGAAGACCAACTTAAGATTTGACTATAGTTTGGGAAAATTAAAGCTCCTTGGTGAGTAATCCATGAGTTCTAGTTGTAAATTTGTAAATTCAAGGTTGAATGATGATAAAGGTCATGAATTGAGTTGTTTTTGTCGAATTTGAAGTCATGGAATGCATGCATGTGTATAATTGCCATGAATTTGTATAGTTGAGTATGAAAAATATGATCCATGTAGAATTTTGGTTAGAACTCATGTTTGTGATCACCATTTGCACCACTTAAGTTGAAATTGGAGTTATAATCCACATGCATATATGAATTATGAGGAAATGAGTTTGAAATACATGGAATTGTTATCATAAAAGCAAGTTTGGTGTAATTTGGGACATGCATGTGTTTGATCCATGAAATTGAGCTTCATAATGATGTAATGTGGTGTTTGTATCATGTTAGCACAAGTATATTTGAAGTTTGAGCTATATATGCAAGAAAGGTTGGTTTGAATGTTGAATTTGAGCTCAAGAACACAATCTGGAAAACCCAGAATTCATGATGTCCGCTCGAGCGGGGAAACAGCCGCTCGAGCGTAAAATACGAGCTCCCAGTATTTTTCTGCAGACATGACGCCCGTTCGAGCGCGGAAGTTCACGCTCGAGCGGGGAGCCATGTAGTGAGGCTTTCAGCTCGAGCGCCCAACTTCACGCTCGAGCGTAAATTTGATGCATCCAGTACTTTTGCAGACCTTATGGGTCCGCTCGAGCGGGGAAGTCCACGCTCGAGCGGGGACCCTGTTTCTGAAAATTTTAAAAAGGAATTCTGTGTTTCGTTTTCTGTTCTCTTTCACTTCTAAGTACTCTTAGGCATACATTGAGCATTCTAATTGAATTAAAGGGATAAGAATAAAGCCTAAAGAGGAATATGTGAATTAAAGAACGGATTGAATCATTTGTGACCCGTATGTGTTATGTGATGTGTAGGGTCAAGCTCCAGGGCAAACCAACCAATCGATCACTGTGAATAATATCTTGACAAAGATATCTGAAATATGTTGTTATCCAATTGCTTACTTCTATGTAAGTTTATAAGTTTGTTAATCTGATTGGTGGACAATGTTTGCTATGCCAAATGAATGGGCCCAATGCCAGTTTGACATGAAAGTATGAATGGGCCAGAGGCCAGTTTGACACGAATGAATGAATGAACGGGCCGAAGGCCAGTCTGACATAAATGAATGGGCCAGATGCCAGTATAAGTTTGAATGATAGAGTGAATGGGCCAGAGGCCGTATGAGTTTGAATGACAGAATGAATGGGCCAGAGGCCAGTGTGATCTGAATGAAAGATAAATGGGCTAAAGGCTAGTTTGAAATGAATAAATGAATGGGCCAAAGGCCAGTTTGACAAGAAAGTCTGAATGGGCCAAAAGCCAGTTTGACATGAATGAAAGTCTGAATGGGCCAAAGGCCAATTTGACATGATTGAAAGTATGAATGGGCAAGGCCAGTTTGACTTGAATGACACGAATGAATTGGGCCCGAGGCCGTATGATGTACTTGGAACCGTAATCACTTGACGTATATTTATATATGCTAGTTAGAAACACGAATTAGGGCCAAGGCCGTTTGAAGCAAGTTGTTCTAAATACCATTTGTGTAACTTCCTTATTTGATATTATTCACTGGGCTTTCGCTCACGCTCATTCATGTGTTTGTAGGTGAGCCAAGAGAGGTCCAAACCCAGCCCCAGTGAAGTTTGTATAGAACAACTAAGGTTTTGAAGAGTCAGCCTTACGTCTCACGCACGAGACTCGTCTTCGCCTTTTTGCTATCTTTTTATTTTGTCATATTGGTGAGGACTTTGGATACGTTTGTATATAGTTTTGTTTGGCTGACTTAAACTTATATGATCCTGTATGTACAGAGCTTTGCATAGTACTTATTTTGATGTGAGTTATTAATATGCATATGTATGGTTTGTTATGATGTGCCATGTAAGCACAGCTCTATGGACAAAGTTTTAAATTGCTTCCGTTTGGCCCCCATTAACTCTGTTAAAATACGTTGGTTTGGTTTGAGGCCGTAAGTAATCTCATGATTATTGGCCGGATATGTCCTTAATACACGGGGGCGGGTTCGGGTCATGACATATACATTCAAATTAAGTGTTCCATTTTCAGTAAAAACTCACAACCTAAATCACACCAACAAACACCCAACTTACATCCACAGTTACACCATTAACAATTTCTATGTGAACTTTCATCAAACATAAATTTTCTATGTAGACTTTGTGAAAGATGGCTTCTTGATGTTTCCTTGTTAAACATTCACAAATAAAACATACGTTAAACATAATTCTAGCTTCTTCATTTTTCCAAATTAGACATTCACAAATAAAACCCATGTTAAACATAATTCTAGATTCTTTATTTTTCCTTGTTAAACATTCACAAATAAAATAGATGTTTCCTGATTGCTTCTTGATTTTTCCTTGTTAAACATTCACAAATCACACCTATGTTAAACATAATTCTAGCTACTTGATTTTCTTTGTTAAACATTAACAAATAGAATAGATTCCGAATCAGTTGCTTCTTAATTTTTCCATGCTAAACATTCACAAATAAAACCTATGTTAAACATAATTATGGCTTCTTGATTTTCCTTGTTAAAAATTCACAAATAAAATAGATGTTTCCTGATTTTTCCTGGTTACACATTCAGAAATTGATTTTTCAATTCCTTATTAAATATTCACAAATTGATTTTTCCTTGTTAAACATTCAGAAATTCCCTTCCTGTTTTAATCTAATGGAAGAGGTTTCCACAGAGTCTCACTATAGAATAACCACAAATTTTTTTTTATAGAATGATTGGAACAAAATCAGTTGGGGACTTTCATCAAAACAGGAAGGGAATTTCTGTAATGAAGAAAATCAGTTGGGACAAAATCAATTGGGGACTTTCATCAAACACTTGGAATGCATCAATATAATGGAAGATGTTAAACCGAGGGTCTGATTCCAGAACAACCAAATAATTGTTTTTTTTTAACAGACATGGAGTCACACAATTCAGCATATCCATTGTTCCTCTCACAAATGCATCTCAAATTGAAAAAAAAGAAAAAGAAAAACAACAAATAGAACAAAAGCTTACTTCACAAGCTGCAACTGTAGGGCAAAATACAAAACCCTCAATCATCAAACCCTAGTTTTGAGTTTACAGAGTTTACCTGAGATTGGGAGGAGAGAGGAGGTGACAGAATAACTTCTTTTCGTCGTCGTTTCGGAGGAGATAGACTCGAATGATTCGGAAAAACGATGACAAATAGAGCAATAGAGAGAGAGTTTGAGAGTTTGGGTATGAGAACAAAAATGAGGATAGAAGGCGAGATAGTTTGGGTATAAGAAGAAGAAAAATGAAGACAAAGGACGAGATAGGCGTAGGCCCACGTTTTCGGGCCAATCGAGCCAAAGTATTCGAGTCCTCAAACAATTTTCTTTATCCAATTAATTACATAACAAGCACAGGAGTGGGCCCACTCATCCTTTGTGTGGGACCCACCACCTGCTTCTATTTTTTGTTTAATTATGTGAATCTCTTCTGGTAAACATGGGATATAGGTCATCACTTGTATTTATTCTATGTTTAATTATGTAAATCTCTTCTATTATTACATAACAGACACAAGGGGTGGAGCCTACTATTTTTTTTATTTTTTTATTTTGTGTGTGGAACCCATAATTTGTGTCTATTGTGTGTTCAGTTACATGAATTTCTTTCATTTAACTTTTCTGTTAATAAAAACGACACATATGATTATGGCTTTGTTTGCAGGTTAATTGGGAGTTAAAATAATTATACAAAAAATAAAATAAATTAAAAAGTCAATAAAATAAAAAATAATTCTACTTATACTATTATTTTAACTCTTTACACCTCTTATCTCATTTCGTCACTAAAAAATATGATTCTTATTGCACCAATTATACTACCAAAACTAATCCTAAACTAAAAAATGTAGAGTTTGAGATTAAACATAGCCGTTGACTAAGGCGCAGTCGATGTGGATGGAGACGAAACTCTCTATTTCGCATCACTACTCGATTTGTTCACCTCACTCAAATCGAACTTGGCTGAATCGTTGTTGCTCCCAACAATTTCTTTCTTCGAAGGGCCTTGCGATTGGGTCATCAAGCCATACAACACCTCTGCAATCTCAATCTCAATCTCCTTTGGGTTTGAAGACAACAATTTTGACAATGATTTTGGTGGCCTTGGCTTGGGTTCATTGGGTTTTTACAAGAAAAAAAGTTCAAAAGTCAATCAATTGAACAACCTATGAAGACAACAAAAAGGGGTTGAAGAAAAGGAACTGACCATCTTCTTCTGAACCAAAGTATTGGAAGAAGATGGCGAGATTGGAGTTGCCAGAGGTGTTGAAGTCGAAACCAAACTCAATCTCACTATCGAATTTGAGGCTTGGCAATGAATTTGCTTTTCTCCAACTCCATGACCAGAAAGTCCAGTATTCATGAGACCTTTCTGCGTAATTTCACGTATGGGTAAAATTGAAAAAAAATCTCATAAAGAGTGTAAAGATATAAAATAATAATGTAAGTAAAATCACTTTAAAATAAAATATTATATTTAAATCATAATTATTTTTTTAATTTTTATAAAAATTTAAATGTTGGTCTTCATCTATATATATAGCACTAAGCTTTAACTGGCGGATTTTCTGAATATGGTGTTTCCGGTGAACCTTGATGGCATGGTGTTGTATTGAGTGTAAAAGACTATATTTGTTTAGGCAAATTAAAAAAGAGAAAATGGCAGGGATAGCGCTGGTTAACCTGCACTATATTGGTTAACTTGTACACATATAATATTTCTAATCTTTAAAAAAAAAAAAATAAAAAAAATAAATGCCTGTACAGACATATATGTAGTTGTGCTAATTATAGAAAAGTAAATTGTTTAATATTATTGGTGCTTACTTGTTAATAATTAATAAAATTATATAAAGCTAATTATAACCAATTAAATTGTGAACACATGATGATGCATGTTATTTTATATTTTAAAATTTTATTATATAAATTTAAAATTAGGCTGAGACTTTGAACTTTGTTTAGACAGCCAAAGTGCAGCGCATAGCCCTTTGTTTGGGAGTAAGTTTTTTGATTTTTTTAACTACTTTTTAGGGTTAAAAGTTCGTTTAGGTTAAGATTTTTTGATTTTT